TTCTCATTTCTGCCTTTTGAGAACAGCAATAAAAGATGCCTGTAATTCAAATCATCTACGGTCATCTCTGTGAATACTTGAATTCTGGAATAAGTTTTTAAGATTATCTATCAAATAAAGTTATACTGTTTACCTTAGATGTCATGAATAAGTAAATGAATAACATTTAAATTAGTACAAATTATTCTTTACTAAAGATGTACCTTTTTTTCTAAACTGAGGCACCTAAAGCGCTTATTACTTCTTTATTTTCATTATAAGAGCATTCTAGTCACATTTACCAAAACAAAAACCCCAACTCCCAAACAAACAAAACCCTTAGAAAATAGTCAAGTTTAAAATCACCCATACTTAGACAACCTTGACTCCTGGCATCTTGATTTTTTCATTTCCCAATTCTAAACTGTTTTAAATATAGTAATTATAGAGATCAAACAAGTAGAACCATAATTTTTAATAAGTATTTTTCATGTCTTCACATAATGATCTATTTCAAGAACTTAGCCTCTCACATCCTAAGTACTAAAATAGAGCAAAATTCTTTTAAAAGTGTGCCTTTGCTCCTAACAGACCTTCCAACTGACCAACAAAAGAGGAACTGGGTGTTTAGGGATGTTGGGTGGTGTGTCTCAATTCCAACCAATCCTGTCCTTAGATTGTGTTTTGTTAGAGCTGATACTGACAAGAGAAGTATAACTAAAAGCTGCATTCATTTCTCTCTCCTCTCTTTAGACCTTCTTGCTTAAAATGCCAGCAAGCCTCAGGGGGAGGTTTGCCCCAGACTGTCCTAGTTTTAGCACTGAATATCCTGCATCCTGGGAAAATCCTCAATCCAGAGCAAGCCAGGACAGCTGGTCACTCTTCAGCAGGAAGTGGGTGAATGTGTGCAGAGCTTGCAGGCCTGGTCAATCTGTTGGAGCTTACCTCTCCTTCTGGAATTTCTCTGTCAGAATGTGGTCAGTCTGTGTCCTTGGGTTTCAGGACCATCCACTTCAGCTATACCGACTTGGCTTCTTAGCTCACTGTCACTAGAGCCTGGGATATCTCAACTATTCACCCAGCCTGAGGGATCCCCAACTGGGATATTCCTGTGGAACAGATGAGAGTAAATATGACATTTAGATAAAAACAAAAGCGCTGGGATTCTTGTAATAATGCTGGCAGCCTCAAATGCCAACTCAGAATTCTATTTCACTTGATAATTAATCTGATTTCTTCTTTTGTTGCATTTATTTTATGTGCTCCTTAAAAGTTAAAAAATGTTCTCCTAGCTTTTCAAAAGAAGATTTCTATTTGCCCCCCAAAACTAGTCCTTTTATATATCACACACCCAAAATTATGCAGTTCAGCTTTCACTGCCTTGTCCTAGAATTAGTGCTCATTTCTGATGAATCTTGAATAATAAGGAAAACAGCTCAGCTTCATTTCAGTTCAGTTCAATGGACATATACTTTAATGCTGTACAGAAAAGTCTGCTTTTGCTGTGACTTGCACATTTGCTATCACCCCTTCAGATGAAAAATGAATCAATTTCAAACTACACTGATGATTGTAAGGTAACTGTGAGAGACACTCAAAAAGATCCAAGCTTTATATCATTGCCATGATGAGAAAAAAATGGCCAGATACTCTTGTGTATTTGCTAGTTAATCAGCATCTTTTCATTGAATTCTAGAAAAGGAACAGCTTTATAGATGATTATCTTTGTTCATCAGCTATAATCAGGCCTGTCTAGAATGCTGAAGTAGTTAAGCCTTGTTTGCTGGTACAGATCATATATAATTGTTTCCATACTGTTGGCAAAATAGCTGTAGGAGTTCTGTATGGGCTGTGCATACTCAAGGCAACCTTGGAGGCGATTTCTTTGTATAAACAATGCAAATTTTTATTGCTGTAGTTGGGTTGAGATTTTTAAAAAGGCTTTAAATCGATCAGGACTTTGCCCTTTGGGTTTTCTTAGGAGAGCAGAGGTGGTGATGGTGATTGAGAAACATGAAAGGCCCCATGTTCCTGCAGCAGAGGCCCAGCACTCTTTCATCTGGGGCTGAATCCCCGCCCACTGCTGCTTTAGGACTTGGAGTGTGTAAAAGTCCTGTGTTTTTTAATTATGCATAATTAGGTTTTAGGAAACCTAGACCAGGAAAGCAGTGATGAAAACATATGCAGTGAAACATTTTATATCCAATCTGAGGACTCAACCAAAGGTCTTCACTCAAGCTAAATCAGAGCCTCCAAATAGATCAAAGATAGCATGGAATCAGAAAAACCTATTTGTTGAGGGTAGAGTAACAATGCCTTAGAAGAATTAATATCACATTAGTTGTTACAAAAAACAATGAAAAAAGTAGATAACAAGGGAGAAAATTATTTCAGATGTCCATCTCCTAAATTAATCAACTGCTTTTAAAGTTTCATTCATATATGTGAGATCATCTGTCTATATTGTACATTCATAATTGTGATAGATAATTGATTTTTAAATGCTTGCATAACATTATGTGATAAGCAGCCTCCACATTGCTTATGGTTCAATTAACTGTAGAAAGTGATGGTTTACAACACTATATATGTTTTAGGATATTGGGTTATATTTATTCAGATGCATGTTATGATACCATGCCCCCCACCAAAGCATCCATAATCCTCCCCTACAGTCCATTGGATCCCCTACCCTGACATCATATCCCACACCTCCCTCTTCTCCTTTTGGTAGCTTCAATGCTACAGTTAGGTTTCTAGGATTTGTTTTGGTTTGATTCTGTTTGTTTTATGATACTCTACACATGAGTGAAATCATCAGCATTTGTCATTCTCTTTCTGGCTTACTTTGCCTAGCATAATCCCCTCCAGTTCCAGCCATGTTGTTTAAAATGTTATGATTTTCTCCTTTTTTTACAGCAGGATAGCATTCCATTGAACATACATACTACATCTCTACCCAGCCATCTGTAGTTTAGGTTGTTTCCATGGTTTGGAAAGAGTGCTGGAACACAGGAATACATATATTCATTCAAATTAATCTTTTTCTATTCTTCAGATACCTAGGCATGGAATTCCTGAATTACATGATGGATCCATTTTTAATATTTGTGAAGCTTCCACACTGTTTTCCACAGGTGCTGGACCAGTGTACATTCCCACCAACAGTGTGTGAGAGTTCTGTTTTCTCCACATCCCCAACAATACTCATCTCTGGTCTTTTTGATATGAGCCACTCTTATGAGTGTGAAGTAGTGTCTCATTGTTATTTTGATTTGCATTTCCCAGATGATAAGTGATGACAAGCAGTTTTTCATGTGCCTGTTGGCCATCTGTATGTGTTCTTTGGAGAAGTGCCTATTTAGCACTTCTGCCTATTTTTTGATTGAGTTATTTGTTTTCTTTTTGTTGCATTACATGAGTTCTTTGTAGATCTTTGATATTAATCCCTTGTGGGATAAATAGTGTACAAATACTTTCACTCATTCAGTAGGGTATTTTTTTGTCTTAAAGATACTTTATTTTGCTGTGCAAAAGATTTTTGGTTTGATGTAATCTCATTTGTTTATTTTTGTTTCTGTTTCCCTTGCCTTAAGGGTTGAGTTCTCAAAGACATCACTGAAACCAGTAACTCACAGTGTTTGCCTGTTTTCTTCTACATATTTTATAGTTTCAAGTTTTACTCCAAGTCTTTATCCTTTTTGAGTCAATTTTTGTTTATGGTGTGAGATACTGGTTGACCTACTGTCATTGTTTGCAAATGTTGATCTAGTTTTCCCAATACCATTTGTTAAGGAGATTGTCCTTTCTTCATTGTGTACCTTTTACTGATCTAGTTTTCCAACACCATTTGTTAAGGAAATTGTCCTTTCTTCATTGTGTACCTTTTACTCTTTAGTTGTAAATTAATTGTCCTTATAAGTGTGGGTTTATTTCTAGACTTTCAAATAATTCCATTGTTCTGTATGCCTATATTTATTTTAAGGCCATACTGTTTTGTCAATTGAACATTTTAGGTGATTTTGCAGAATTCCATAGGTCACCTGTCCCACTATTTATTGAATACTCACTAATTATGGAATGTTTAGATTATATTCAAGTTTTTCATTTATTCAAAATTCAATGAGTATAGTTTATGTGTGTGTGTGTGTGTGTGTATGTATATATATATATATATATATATATATATATATATATACATTAGCCACTTTATTGGGGGGGCATTTTGTCATAGAATTTACTTCAGAAATTGTTTCCAGTAGTTTTACAACTCAGGTATTATCTCAAGTTGTGTCAATACGAATTGAAAATTGTTTTGGAAGGAAAGATAAGAAAGAATTCCCTCAGAGGTATTTCTTTGATATCTGTCAACTTGGCCAAAAAGAAAATGCTTTCTAGGAAGAAAGGACATTCCTCACAGTTCACAACTAACTATCATATTTAAGAAAAAGTGGTCTTGGAAGTGACATGGCAGACATAGTTTGTCTCCAAATAGTGAATCTGAAGCACCTACATCTATCTGTGCCACAAGAAATTATAGTTTCCACTGAAATCTATGTAGGAGAGCATGGATTAGCAAACTAAGAGTATACCCAGTTTACCAGCTACCACAGTGGCTGAAAGTAAAGTTAATAAAAGGCAAGATTCATGAAATCCTGTGGTGTAATGATCCTTAGTTCCACCAAAATGTAACCACAGTCTTCTTTAACATGGCCTCACATCCAAGTAAAATCTGTGTTATTCGGTAAACACAACACAATGTTTTTGCAACTTTATGCATAGTTCTATGAAGATTCAAACTTTTGGAAGGATGCAATGACTGAGATAGGTCTTGAGTTTATTTCAGATTGTTGCTATGTGTGCTAACTCAAAGAAAATGATCCTACTGATCTGTTGGCTGGCCTCTATGAGCATGTATTAGAAGACTCAGGGTCTCTTTCTTCTCTTGCTATATGTACTTAGATAGATTCACTGGGTTTACCTACTAAATCCTGGATTGTTCATGACCAATTTCACTTCAGGTTTTGATCTACAATGGCCAACTGGACATCATTGTGGCAGCACCCCTGACAGAGCTCTCCTTGATGGCCATGAACTGGAAAGGTGCCAAAGAATATAGGACAGTGGAAAGAAAAGTTTGGAGGATCTTCAAAAGTGACAGTGAAGTGGCTGGTTATGTGCGGCAAGTGAATGACTTCTGTCAGGTATGAAAGTGCCTCGGGGCATGTAGGTGATGGGGATGTAGGAGTGGGATTGAAACTAAATCCTACATTCCAATGAGGCATGATTGATATAAAGGAGAGTCATACAACAGTCCAAATGTATCATCTGCAAAGTGTGATATGAGTTCACATTAAAGTACATAGGACTTAATATAAAACCAAACAAAAGTTTATGTATTGTACAACTGGTGAAGTGACAATTAAAAAGGCAGTCTTTTTTTTTTAAGATTTATTTTTTATTTATTTATGCACACAAGAACTAGGGTGTAGGTCAGAGGTGTGGGGGGAAGGGAATTCACCAGAGACAGAGTAGGGAGCCAAACAGATGAATCTACTGAAATACACTGCTGAGGGGAACAGCGAGGCAAGATGGGAGAGGTCTGCTATGCCATGTAGGTCACCTTCCTGACTGGGGAAAGAATTCAGGACACAGTGGCTAGTGATAGGTTGATAGTGCTAAGACTAACAACTGTGCCACCACAGAGGCCCCAAAATGGCAATTCTTTTTTTTTTAAAGATTTATTTATTTATTCATACAGAACTGGGGTACAGGCCAGAGATGGGGAGGATGAGAGAATTCACCAGGGACAGAGCAGAGAGCAGAACAGGCAGATTGACGAAGTACACTGCTGAGGGGAGCAGCGGGCGGGTCAGGAGAGGTCACCTCCTCCGGGGCAGGGGATCAAACTCATGCGGAAGTGGCTTAAACTTGTTAGTGCTGTGCTTTCACCCGCTGTGCCACCAGGGAGGGCCCCAAAAATGGCAATTCTTAAGCCAAAAAAAAAATTGTTTTTTCACTAGTGAGAAAATCAATATAATGAAGAACAAAAATGAAGATGGACAAATTATGTGAGGAAGATTCAATGTGATTTCCATACAGGCTTCTACACTCAACTACCACTATTTGTTTGGTTTTATCACCTCTTGGCAGGAACATATCAGACCAGCTTGTGGTCCTTCCACTCACTTTGTAAGCCTGGCTCCTGTAGTAGGCAGAAGAACAGCCCCCAGAGTACCCTCTTCCCAGTCTCTGGGACCTTTGTATATGTTGCATCATAAGGAAAGGAGTTAAACTCACATATGGAAACAAATTTGCTGAATGTCAGACCTAGAGATAGATTCTTCCAGATTAATAATCAAATACAGATGAGCACAGTGTAGTCACAAAGGCCCCTATAAGTGAATGAGGAAGTCAGATTAATCAGAATGAGAGGGTGGATGATAGGAAGGGACCATGAGTCAAGGAAAGCAGGTAGCCTCCGGAAGCACTCCAAGAGTCACTGCAGAATGAATGGAGCCATATCAAGGCCTTGATTTGAGTCCAGTGAGACCATTTCAAACTTTTGACATCCAGAATTATAAGAATACAAATTTGCTATTCTAATACACAAAATTTGTGATAATTTATTATAGTAAACAAATATACCACTCATGAACTAGCTACCTTTGCAGATTTTCAGTATCTTCAAAGGGATGTGTTTTGTATTTGATCCAGCTTTCTTGCATTTCCTTAATAGAAAGTTTAACAAGTGTCTCTGCCAATATAGGATGTGGCACTTGTTGCTGTGTTAACTTCCTTAACAATTCCTCCCTCATTAATTAATTAAAATTGTTTCCCAAAGCATATCTTGCACATTAGTAGTTCTATATCAATTACTTAAATAAATCAGTCTAAAAAGATATACTATAATATTTTGTGTGTACTAAAATAACCAAAGGAAAAGAATATAAAATATTCCAATAAAAGGTAGAAATTATAAGAGATGAAAGTACTTATATTTATGTTTAACATAAGAAAGTTTTTATTTCATGAGTATTAAATATGCACCGGTTACAATGATAGATATGGTTTGGGTATTATTGAAACACCCTTGAAAATTATAGAATTTTATAGAAGAGAAAATAGACTCTGATAATGTAAATGATCTACTAGCGTCCATGATTAAAATATAATTCAACCTTTATTCCATTTACTTCCAGTCTGTTTGTGTCTACCAAATTGCCTCTGACATCTAATTGCCAGTAAGGTGGGGAATATTAGCTAAATAGAAGAGAGACAGACACTCAGGGAAAAAAAATTTAAGTTGTTGATGTGTTAGAAGTTGGTTGCATCTAGTTCCTTAGATGCAATACAAAAGAGATCAACACTCATAAAGTTCTAAAACACCTCTAGCAATATATTAGATTGCATTATACTTTGCCTATGTTAGAATTAAAGATACTAGGTTAATAACAAAAATGCCATTTCTTTTATTTTGACTCTATCCTCCCATCCACTGACCAGATGGTTTTAGAGCAGTTATCTGTTATTAGATCTGTATACCTAATATGATCAAGTCTCTTCTATCAAGGGTTTTCTACTCATAGGAGGAAAGAAATAAAGACAACATAAAATATACCTTACTTATTAAGATAAAATCAGAAAATAAAACTAGATGATATGAAAGAATGTCATAGGGGCTGCTAGAGGGACAACTTGTGGTGGTGGATCCAGTAAGCCTTTCCGAAGAGGGTGTGCAGGTGTGAGTCAGAGCTCGTGAGTTGGGACTGCCTAGACATGCCAAGGGCAGAAGCAAGCTGGTGTGTCTGAGGAAGGCAAGGAAGGCCAGCGTGTCTGTGATTAAGGAAAGGGAAAGACAGGAGATGAAGCTGGAGAATTGTCTGCAGCCAAATCATGTGAGACCTTGTGTGTCAGGGTAGCATTCAGTGTCCCTGCCCCATCAGAATCTGAGTGCATTCATGTTTATCCTCTTTTCTGTGATTTCCTGATTCTCAACACACAAACCCTTAAGTGAGATCTTCCCCCTATAAGAAAAAAATTGCTTTGCTATCAGCATTCTTCTATTGGAGAAAAATTTTGCTTCAACCACTGATGAATTTAGGAATTATAATTGTTACTAACCAAACTGTATAATATTTGATTATCTATGCATTTTTGTGTGTCTTCACACATGCATACAATTATATGTAGAAACAGTATAATGGTTAGAGGTTTCAATCATCAGTTGAAAAACATTTGTTTTGCATTCTAAGTCTTCCACTTAGTACTTTGTGACTTTGGGCAAGTTTCTTTCCTGTCTATGCCCTAATTTCATCACCTTATAAAATAAAAAAATTAAATAAAACAATTATAGAATAAAACCTCCCTGAAATGAACTGTGTCTCCCAGATTCATAATCCATGGTATGGCTATATTTGGAGAGAGGACCTATAAAGAGATAGTTAAGGTTAAGTGAGACCAAAAGGAGGGACCCTGGTTCTATATGATTAGTGTCCTTATAAAAACACCAGAGAGCTCATTTGTCCTCGCTTGTTCTCTTTCTCTCGCCTTCCCTCTGACCCACCTCCCTTTCTTCTCTAAAACCACAGAGAGGTCAGCCATCCTCAAGATAGAAAGGGAACTTCTGAAACCAAATCCATCAGCACCTCAACCTTGGACATCTCAGTCTGTAGAACTATGACAGAGAAATTTTCTGTTGTTTCAGAACAATAATTAATGGTACCCTGTTAGGATTGTTGAAGGGATTCAATGAATTAATAATCTTAGAGCTGTAACTGAATCATAGTGTTTGGTATTATTATTGTCATTATTAGTTAGTACCCTGGATCACTTTCAAACATACAAAACAAAAAGGAAATTATAAATAAAAATTATAAAGCTAAGAAATTGTAAAGCTAAGGTCAGGGGAAATGTTTGATTCAAAATCAGCGCAGTTGAGGAAGGTGGGATATTAATATTCAGACCATTAAGGACAAACATGAATGTTGAGCTGCCAGGGAGAAATTGACACCACACTAATCTCCTGTCCAGTGCATCACTTTATGATGAGAATCCCATCAAGTATGCTCAGCGAATCCTCCAGATCCTCTGATGGCTTCATCTTCCTGTTATTTTATGTCCCCTGGACCAGTCTGTGAAGCATCACAGTGCCTGCCATTGCATATGTGTCCTCCTTGACTCTGCATAAAGTGTCCACCTGGGGAGTCCAGATTGTGGCTGCAGGACAGAGGTGTGAAAAGGGATTGGCCGCCACTCAGAAACTCATGGCAAATATCACACTCAGCCCCTGACTCTTCTTGTGAATGCAAAACACATTTAGAGGTGAAATGGCACCCCTCTGGCTGCCAAAAATGGGTAACAAAAGAAGCAAGGCCCACATATGTTTGTGATAGGGAGTGTTTTAGCACGCAGCAAGAGACCTGCATTTTATGTAGATGATTTAAAAAGGCTGGCAGAGCTCCTGCCCCCTTGGCATACAATTGAGGGTGATGTGTGGAGGAGGAGGAGGTTGAAGGAGAGAAAAGTGATCCGGTGTTAACAAAGCTATTCTCTGTGAGACCTGAATTGAGAAAACTGTCCAAATGTCAAGTGTCTGATAAAAAAAAAAAAGGACCTTTGCCATGGACTTGCCTTTTAGCACTAGGCACACAAAACAGAAGCATGTGTATGTTTCTGCCAAAAAAGAAACCTCACTCTGTGCCAAACTTTACAGCTCTTAATTTAAAAATGGAAACTGAAGTAGACTTGTCTCTGGATGGTTACCTAAAATGTCCACTTAAAGAAATGACAGCTCTCTCTGGGGGGACTAGGGAACTGTGAGAGGGGGCAGTACCCTGTGCTTTCCTGACAGGCTGCCCAAGGAAACCACAGGCAACTCCAAACAACCTCCAACGAGGCTACACCACAAGGACCTGAAAAGCAGCGAGCCCTGCATCTGTAGTATGCTAATACCTAGAGGGGCTCAGCACAATATAGACTAGTGGACTTCAGTGGATAGAGATGTAGATACATATGCACACCTACCAGGTTTGTGTGTGTGTGAGCATCTACTGGTTTTGCCTTAATAGTATTGTTTCTAATAGTGTCACAGTATAGATTAGCAGGCTAATCTTTTACAACTCTAAAAGATTTTGACTGCACATTTGGAAATATAAAATTTTAATCAGAATAATAGCAACACTGATTAATTTCTTGAAGAACA